GCTTGGAGATCAGAGGACACTGAAGTGCTTTGTTCTGATACGTTGGGGAGAAAGGACTTTATGATCGACGTTTAGCAACCTGAATGCCTGAAGGTCTGTCTTTTGGAGGTGCAGACGTCCCGTGAGTAATCCGGAGCCTTGTCAGGAGCGCGTGGGTGGCCATGTACCGTGTGCGCTGTTTCCACGGGGAGCGTGTCCGCATTCTGCACCTGTTAGTTCTGGTCCCCAAATTCCTGACAACATGCCCGAGGTCCAGAACAGTGTAGCACCTGCCAACGCTCAACGCAGTCTTCACAAAACAGAGTTGGAACATGAGAGAAGCAACAATTTGTGCTCGGCAGGCACCTTCCTTGGGTTGGGGAGGAGCTGCTGCTTCTGGACTGGAGCGAGCTGGGGGGGTCGGGTGCTGCTTGTTTGGAATGGAGTGGGGTTGACGGAGTTCCCGGGTTTTCAGATTTTCTTCCGGAAATTTCCATATTTTATTCTGGTGGTTTTCAACATGAAGCTTTAGGGTTTGATACCACCTCCCGCTGCCTAAATCTGAGATTTCTTGCTTGGAGAGCTACTGGGATGGTATTCAAGAAAGCACAGCTCTGCTCACATCCCCCTTACAAGCGCATCGCTCCTTTATCTTTCATTCATTCTCTTTTTGTTGGCTTTTCCCCTCATAGTCAGTGTTTGTCTCTCCTCGCCCACCTTTTCATCCTGAATATCTCAAACAGGCGTTTCTCCCTGTAGCAAATAATGATATATAATGAACATATTTAAACTAAGTGAAAGGAACCAGTTAGAAATTAGACTTAAGAATGACAGGATATCTTCACAATATGACCATTGCCAGAGGTCTGAAAAGGAAGGGGTGACTTTGTCTCCTGTCTGCATTTAACATGATGTTAATAACTACCTTACTGTTGGAGTATAAACACACGGGAGGTTAGCTTGACCGAGAAGTTGCTAGAAGCAAAATACCATCTGTGTTCGATGAGCTAGGCTTAGCTGGAGTACTGTGACCCTTGTTTGTCATAAACTCTAGGTCTGTGTGTCCTCCCATGAGGCGTTTCTTTTTTTTTTTTTTTAAAGATTTTATTTATTTATTTGACAGAGAGAGAGATAGCGAGAGCAGGAACACAAGCAGGGGGAGTGGGAGAGGGAGAAGCAGGCTTCCCACTGAGCAGGGAGCCCGATGTGGGACTCGATCTCAGGACCCTGGGATCATGACCCAAGCCGAAGGCAGACGCTTAACGACTGAGCCACCCAGGCGCCCCGAGGTGTTTCTTTATTGCAGTTGAGTCGGCCCTCCTCAGACATAGTATTGTATGGTCGGGAGGGGCAAATAAAAAACACCTTATTGTTCTTCCCGCATTGTCTTTCTGTGAGTTTCATAATCTCGCACTAAGTTTGAGTCTTTCAGACCACGGAAGTCAAGTGACGATTCTTCGCATACATTTGAGAAAATGAAGTTAGGAAAATGTAGTACTTCTCAGAAAGTGTAGCTGTGACCTGGTGGTTTTGCTGGTGAGCTCGGTAGGAAAGGCATGCACTGACAGAAGTTGTAAGTCTGGGAAAAGATGAGTTTTCCAGATTATGGGCTAACCTATTTACTTTTGATTCCCATCCCAAATCCTTTTTCTATACATGACATTTGCTGCATTGAACTGATGTGATGTTCATGTTGTTCCTGGGAGCCTTGCGTGAGTAATGAGTTTAGGTGTTACCTTTCTGTGACGAGGTCGATTACACCCATACATCAGTCATACCCACTGCAGCCCTTCCCGTGTGTGGTTTAGGTAAATCTGGCTCTGAATCCTCAGCCTTTTTACTTTTTTATGGGACTGCATGTGTAAAGGCAGGAGGCGACTGTGTGTGGGGCCCCTCGGGGCTTGAGGACAAATAAGGGTGACTGACTAGTCCTAGTTTTCTTTTTTTTTTTTAAGATTTTATTTATTTATTTGAGAGAGAGAGTGAGAGAGAGAGCACAAGAGGGGGGAGCAGGAGAGGGAGAAGCAGACTCCCTGCCGAGCAGGGAGCCGGATGCGGGACTCGATCCCGGGACTCCAGGATCATGACCTGAGCCGAAGGCAGTCGCTTAACCAACTGAGCCACCCAGGCGCCCCGAGTTTTTTAATATATATTTTTTAAATTTATTTTATTTATTTATTTATTTATTTTTTAATTTTATCTTATTGAGAGAGACAGAGAGAGAGAGCATGAGAGAGAGGAGGGTTAGAGAGAGAAGCAGATCCCCTGCCGAGCAGGGAGCCCGATGCGGGACTCGATTCCGGGACTCCAGGATCATGACCTGAGCCGAAGGCAGTTGCTTAACCAACTGAGCCACCCAGGCGCCCTAGTCCTAGTTTTCACACTAAAAGTCCTATGTCTGGGGAAAGCCCTCATTCCTGGACAAACTGCAGGGATTTTCCTGGGACTATCCCAGTTTTAAAACTTAAAGTTCACTGTCTCAGAAATGCCCTGGGTAGGGGTGCCTGGGTGGCTCAGTCGTTAAGCATCTGCCTTCGGCTCGGGTCATGATCCCGGGCTCCTGGGATCGAGCCCCGCATCGGGCTCCCCGCTCCATGGGAAGCCTGCTTCTCCCTCTCCCACTCCCCCGCTTGTGTTCCCTCTCTCGCTGTGTCTCTCTTTGTCAAATTAATAAATAAAATCTTTAAAAAAAAAAAAAAAAGAAATGCCCTGGGTCTTAGGCAGCCAACCTAGTACAAACCAAAGTCTGTATACTTATATCCAAATATTTAAAAAATATGAATCAAGTTAATGAAATGCTAAATAGAATAGGTTCTATCTTCCTACCTTGGCATATATATGTGTGTAGTGACCTGAAAGGCTGGGTTTGAGGATCTATTCTCCCAGATTCTTGGAGTTCCATGCTGGAAGGTAGTGGTTTTTGTAGAGCTGGTTCCTGGCCATACCCCCTGCCCTGTGCCTCTGAAACTATATGGCGAGAGGTACATGAGAGGCAGTGAGCAGGCGTGTGGACACCCCAGGTCACCTGCCCTTGCTCAACACTCCCCCTTCCCTTGGGTCTTGGGTCAGAAGGTGCTCACTCATACCAGTGGTGTGGCCACCTGTGGGCTGACAGATGTACGGAAAAGGCTACTAGTCCTAGGAAGTGTGTTTGGGGGGAGGTGTAGGGAAGGAAATGTGAGTCCTGGGTCCTGGATCCTGGAGCGAGGTCTAGAAGTGGAGTGTGGACTCTGGTGGGAAGGTACCCTTGCAGATGCAGACTTGTATATTGAGGGCACAGTGAGGAGGGGACCAGAGTGGGATCTTGTAAAGTATGGATTACTGAGCAGTTCAAAGAATGACTTGCTCACTTGGGGTTACAGAACCTTTCCTTCAGTAGGGGTAGGAAATCCTCACAGTGACAGGACACCCACTTGGTCCAGGGACTTTGCAAAGGGAAAGGATTTCAGCAGGTGGGTGGGTGCTCTGCATATGACGTCACCAGGGCTGCCACTGGGATTTCATGCTGCTTTATCCACTGAATTATCCCTCAAACTGCAAGACAGCCTTCAAGGCCCTTCTCAAGAATATCACATCCAGTACAAATAATCCTGATAATACATATTAGCATATTATAACTCAAGACTACTTTAAAATGGTGTTTGGGATAATAAAACTCAAAATACTATGAAATATACTAGAATTGGTGACTTTGCATGAGTTGACACAGGGCCATTTTGTATGGCAGCACAGGTTGTGCACTGCACAATTTCAGGTGGTGTCATTCACATAGACTACAGTCTAAATGGCGCCCCAGTTAGCATGGAATGCTCAGCAGTTTGCAGCATCCCTAAATCGATTGTACCTAACCATCTACTTAATGTTTCCTCTGCTGAAATAGATATTCCATTAGTTGAACTGTGGTTAAAATTCTGATTTGAACATTAAGGCCATTTTTATTTGGTTCTTCATTTAGACTACCTTTGATAGGGAATACATGAACAGAAAATTGGCTCTAGTTTCCCTTTATCTTAGAGGATATTTTTCTGCTGAAGGGTTTAGAAGTGAAATGAGAGCTGAATAAGCTTCACAGTTTACAAGCAAGTAAGTGAAGGCTAAAAGCATAGGAAGTAGCTTTGGAAATTTATTTTGTAATTATGCAAATGTTATATCAAATTTTAATTTTATTTCCAAGTAGGCTTTCCTATAGAGACCTGGTTAGTTCTGATTGGAGAGTAAGTAGCAGATGGTTTTGTTACCAGTTCTTGTTGATGATAATTTAAAAAAAATAAAAAAGTTTTTGCAAATTTTCATGAGAATATTTCAAGACAGAGTATTCTGATCATCTTGGTGACTAAAGAATCATTCCCCATCCCCGCCCCCCAATTAAGTGGATATACTTTTGCATTTGTCTCTGATATAACATTTATGTGTAATCTCTTATACATAAATCGTTTCAATAGAGAAAGTACATTTATTTTTCTGTGTTGTATTAAGGCGAAGAAAGGGTTCGTTTATTCAACCTTGGCAACCCCCCTCTGAACACCAAGTGGAGAGCAAAATTGTGCATTAGATATCATTATTTGGGCTGGTTAATAATGTGTTTGTGAAAGCAAGTAGACCTGCCAAAGTACACTTTGAAAGTAATACCCAAGCCATCAGAGGTTTTATCTTTTGTTGTTTAAAGTGGTATGGAGATAATCTGTCTCTGGAATAAAAGTACCAGGATTGCAGTTAAAATGGCCAGCTGTATACTAGAAATAGTTGTAATGCATTGATTGCTGAAGTTTTCCCAGCTATATAGTGATTTGTAATTTCTCCTCATTCATTTCTTTTCTTTGGAAGGGGTGGAGGTTTGGGGACTGGGGAGGGAAACAGTTCACATGAAGCAAACCAAGAATTTCAGGTTTCATGTTCCTGTCCTGTAAAACAAACTATAAACCTATAAAACCTTCAATATATATGTAACTCACTTTAGTGGGGATACTTAGTATTAATTCTGAATGCATACTTACAAATCTTTGCTTTGTTTTGCCTTTTAGGTGCCAACCCAAATTATCCTGATGTAATTTATGAAGGTAGCTATCATGTTGTCTTTATTTTGTTTTTTTTTTTTTTTCAAAATGTTTGTCTAAAATGAAACAAATCAACTAAAAGAGGACCTTTAAGCTCAGTTAAATATACACTTTAAGCATTACATGGGCCACAGTAATATTTCAAAAATCATTCAATATTGATGGCTGTTTTCCCTTGATATTTACAGTGCTTGTAAATAGCATTTTCTCTCTCATGTTCTGTTCTTGGAAGTAGTAAATCCATTCCACTGTAATAGACATTTTGTTTCTATAATTGGGAACTAATTACCTGTTTAAAAGCCATGACTACCAAGAAAAGGGAGGTGTATCAGTTTCTGGCTTTGAGAGTAAACCCAATTCAAAATTCTGTTTCTTGTATAATAAGGAAGTTTGGCTCACAGACAGGAGCCTCCAAAGTAGGGCATGTTTTTAAGTTTGGTTAACCAGTAGCTCTACCATGTCATCAGGCACCCAAGTTTTTCATCTTTATAGCCCCCTGCGTACTGTGCCCACTTCCCTGAAGGCTGACTCCTCTCATGGTAGTAAGATGATGCTCACAGAGGGGCCGCTCTCACTCACGTTGTTAGGAGAAATGGAAGAGCTTCTGAAGGCATTCCAGAGGAAAGGGAACTTTCCCAGAGATCTCCATCAGCCCTCCTTGAATGGGATTCACGACCCAGTGGGTCATAGTCCATTCTTGCCACCATTACTGATAAGAAGGTTGGATTAACCCTTGACTAACTAGAACCACCCCTGGAGTTTAAATATTCCTCAGAGAATGTCAGTGAACCCCTTGAATAAGATGGGGTTCTCTTAGGAAGGTAGGAAGGGAGAAGCCAGAAGGTGGACTATATTAGCTTTTAACTGGGTATCTCATCCATGCTTTGCTATTTTAATAGAATTCCAGGGATATTTGGTTAGGTGTGAAAATCCATCTTTAACAGATTCCCGAACTACCTTCATGACCAGGAAGCCTCTGTTTGGGGAAATGGCCTCAATTTCAAGACTTGGCTCAAAATTTAAGACTGATTAAAAGTTAGATTGAGTAAAATGTGACATGTATAACTTATTCTATTACATATTCCATTCTTTACCTTGATGTACACGTGGACATTTAATTTTTTTTTATAAAAAGATTCTATATTTATATGTTTGTTATATGTGTGTGTATTTAACTTGAGCTAATTTTAACTGGGGGATTATATTATCTTTACCTGTTTTATGCATGTTAAACTATATATCCTTCAAATTGTGTTTTGGATGATTTTGTGCATGTGATTTGTGAATTTTTGTTTTTATTTGCCCCGATACGGCTTAAAGAAAAAGTATCTCAAATTGTGTCACAGAAAGCTATGTTTGTGATTTTCCGTTTTAAAATTATGTTTTGGACTCTTTTCCAGTAACTTCAAGACTTTAAAAATTCCATCTTCCCTTTGGCCTCAGATCCCACTTTGGATCTTTGGGCCAAATATGAGATTAAACTATCAATACTTCAGTGATTTAATTTTGCATGAGTGGCTCATTAGAATATGAGGAGGTAAAAAATTAGCAAATGGATGATATTTCTTAGTGTTTGGTTGAAATCAGTGTTCTAGTATATTTAAAATGAAAATGGTGACAATGTAGTTTTGGAGTTAAGAATAAAACAGCAAACAGAAAATAGATGCTTTTTCAGTTACTATTTATTCACATTCAAAGGAACACTCTGCTAATATAAATATAATTTAAATTTGTTGCCCCAAAGCCAGCTTGATAGTCCTACTGAGGGAAGTTTAGCTGGGGCTCACTTAATGAGGTTAATGAGGTTAATGACTTAATGTTCAGGATGGAAATTGCATTTCTCATATCTATTGAGAAGAAAAATACCAAACATTTATAAACAACATTGTCTGCAATAAGTTCATCAAAAATTTTCTGTGACTTTTTATATGAATATGACTAATAAAAACGTTCACAGTCCCCCCCCCCCAAAAAAAAACCCCAATCATTTATTTCCAGCCTGCTCCATATAGACTAAAATTGACTCAGAAGATGACAGGGACATTTGAGACGTGCTGATGGGACAATTCTTAATACTGTGTTGGTGCAGCTCCCTCTCTATTAATTCAGAAACCAAAATGTTGGCAATTCAGACCTTTTCAAAAAAGTTCATATAGGCACCCAAGTCCACATCAATGCTGACTCCATAGCCCCTCCTGAGTGGCTGCCTCGTACCCAAATAAGATTCATCAGCCCTGGAATGAGTGTTGCTGATTTGAGGTGTGGTTCATGTTTAGGCTTTGCCACCTTCCTGCCAGTTCACCTTACACTAGTCATTTGACTTTTGACTAGTCAGATGACCTTCCTCAGCTATAAAACTGGTGATTAGATTCCATATCCAAAGGCCCTTCCAGGTCTATAAATGTATGACTCTTAGAGGATCGATTCCCTTTCGTATTTATATTAAAGACTTCATTTAAAAAAGGGATATATTCTTACCTACCAAGGAAAACCTGGTTTAGAATTTGTCTGCCAAGCCAGTGATGAAAAGATCTGGGTTGCATTACATTTGAGCATCATGCAATCCCAGCACTACAATGGCTTTCACCCAAGAGCTGGGTCATGTTCCTCTGCAGCCAGGCTGTCAGGGGCTTGGAATTGTTGTGATTTGTCTCACTTCGTGGTTCTGGGTCATACTGTGGCCTCGTGTTTGTTGGTAGCCTGGTGACAACTTCATGGTTCCTTCTCTTTCCTGTTTCTCCAATTTAAGATTATGGGACTGCAGCAAATGACATTGGGGACACCACGAACAGAAGTAACGAAATCCCTTCCACAGATGTTGCTGACAAAAGCGGTCGGGAACATCTCTCGGTGAGTGAGATAAATAGTTGTTTCCTAGGTCGGCTCTGAGCGCTGTGGATGCTTAAATGTTGGGGGGAGCAGAACTGCTTCGGTGCGTGTCTTTCAACATGACATTTTTACTGTTCAGGTGTGAATAGGGTGTTGACGTTTGGAAGACTTCACAGAAAGGTTCGAGGGAAGTGATAAATGTGCTGTGTAGCCTCTGACTTACTTGCTTCCCCTTTTATGTGTCCCTTTAATTGCTAGTGGTTCTTATTTTAAATGTCTGTCCTTTAAAAGAAGAGCAGTGTCTCATTTGGGCATTATTCCCGTCTTCGGCATCTTCACGCCTGTCTTGTTCCGTATTTTAATAAGAGTCTCATTGCCCACTAAATTTAAGGAATCCCGTAGGTTCTGGGAGGGACGGGCAGTGGGAAGATAGAAAAATATGAAGGAAGAGCTGGTCTGTCCTTCAGGAGTTCATACTTTGGTCAGAGCCCTGAGCGGTGACCGGATACCAGCACCTGTGATACAGACAGAGAAGCAGGGGGATGTGAGAGCTGGACCTAGAGGGGCAGGTGCTCCACTCCTTCCTGCTGGGAGCTCCAGAGGGGTCTTGCTGGGGCCGGGGGCGTTTTCCAGCTGTGCGGGATGGCTGGATTTAGACGGACAGGAAACCAAGGGAAGGGCATTTTGGATGTGTGCACAAGAGCCCGCGGACCGGAAAACGGTTTTGATGGGCAGGTAAGGTGTGTGTTGGGGTGGGGGGTCGTCAGAGGCACGATCGGAGAGGTGGTTGTGCCCGGTCATGGGGTTTTGAAACTCAGTGCCAGGCGTTAGATTTATCACGCAGGGAGGAGCCGCTGAAGGGGGCGGGCTTGAGCCCCAGGACTGTGGCAGGGTTAGTCTGTCAGCTGCTCAGCTCAAAGGCCAGCAGCATCCCTCATTCTTCTTGTCACTGTCACGTGCACCCAGTCCCCTGTGCTGTGAGCTCTGCCACCTGATAAACCCCAAACCCATCCACATCCCCCCACCCCCGCTGCGTTGGCCGCAGGCTCACCTGAGGGTTGGGAAACTACGGCCCGCAGGCCAAGTCCGGCTCACCCCCTGTTTTTGTGCCATCTGCGGGCTAAGAAGAGTTTTTACCTTTTTAAGTGGCTTGGAAAAAAAAAAAATGAAAAGGAGAATGATATATTTCGTGACGTGTGCAACTCTTATGAAATTCAAATGTCAGGGTCCGTAAAAAATAAAGTTTTATCGGAACACGGTCATGCCTATTGACGTATCGACTGTGGCCACTTTTGTGCTACAGACGTGGCTGGAGTAGCTGCAGCAAAGTCTGTATGGCCTGCAGAGCTGGAAGTGTTTAGTATCTGGCCCTTCACAGAGGGAGTTTACCACAGTTGCTCGTTCCCGGATGACCTCTGCAGCCTCTACCTGTCCCTCCTCTCCCACCCTGTGATCTCCCGGCCTTTCTCCATACAGCAGCCTGAGTGACCTCTGAAAAGCACAAATCAGATCATTTCTATTGTCATTCTCAGAGTCTTCCCAGTGCGAGTGTAAGAGAACTTTTATTACAAAAGCCCAGCTCCTCATGGTGGCAAAAAGGCCCCGCATATCTTGCCCTCGTCTGCGTCTCTGCCTTCACCCCGCACCCTGCCCTCACATGTGCCACCTGTCCTTCTTCATGTTCTCTCACATGCTTCGGGCTTACTCTTGTCTCACAGCCTTTATGTTTGCTGTTCCCTCTACAAGGCATGTACTTCCCAATGGTCATCACATGGCTTTAGCCACCAGGCAGCCACGATCATGTTCTGTTTTCTTCTGAGCAGTTATTCTTGTCTGTAATTCCCTTGCTTCTTTATTGTTTACTTGTGTAATGTCTTTTTTTTTTTTTTTGGTAATGTCTTTTTTCCTTCCCTAGATTCTTTTTAGAGAGAGAGAGAGAACACGTGCACATGGGGTGCACGGAGGTGGTGGGGAGGGGCAGAGGGAGAGGGAGGGAGAGAATCTCAAGCAGGCTCCACGTTCATCACGGAGCCCGTTGTGGGGCTTGATCTCATGACCCGGAGATCATGACCTGAGCCAAAATTAAGAGTTGGACGCCTAACCTACTGAGACACCCAGATCCCCCCTCCTTCCCTAGATTCTTTAGTGAATTTCCAAGTCTAGGCAACCTGGTCAGTGTTTTTCAGAGCTGTATCCCTCATCCCTCAAATAGTGTCTGGCACCTAGGAGGTAATAAAAATTGGAGGCTGATTAGAGTAATGGTGAGTGCTCTAGAATGGGTTGCAAGACAGAGAGATTGGAAGCAGTGTGATTAGTTAGGGAGATGTGATTTATATTTAAACCAGGGCCCTGGCGGTGGGAATGGGAGGATCGTAACAGATGTAGCTCAGCTGCAACTCAAAATACGCGTATCCAGTACATGGAGACACACACACACATATGTCCATAGATGATGGGATGCATTGCATTGAAATAGCAGGGACAAATGCCGTGGTAAATCAGCTGCAGAATGTTTTCTACTTCCTGCCTTGTGCAATCTTTTTGGTTTATTCTCATACCAAACCACTTAGTGCTTTTTGGTTTGAGAAAGTTGTTTGTGTATATAAGGAATCCAAGGAGCATGTGTTAAGCCCACAGGTGTGTACATATCCCAGTTACTAAAAATTACATGCCAACTTCACTTTTCTCTTTTGAGACCAAATCATAAATTTAAGTCCCTAAGTGGCACATCTCAGTGATATTTGGACTCTCTACAGTAGGGCCACTGGAAGGCAAGATCACTGAAAATACTCTTTGTTGAAAGTTGGTACATTACAATTCCACCTGAGGTCCCTGGAAATCTGCATGACAGGTGCAAGGTGTAATGCTTTGTACAATTTAAAGAAAGTGTAAAACTTAAGTCTGGATCAGATATTTAATTCATGAACAGTTCCTGATCACAAGGAGGATTGTTAGATTAGAAGAGTTTCAGAGTCAGGGAGCTGATAGAAGAGTTAAAGGTGTTATCAGAGCATTTGGAAGACAGCCTCAAATGCTCTCCTTTCTGGTCCAATAAGTGCTCTTCATGAACCTTGCTGGATTTTTTTGAGTAGAGCAGGCCCTTGTTCATGTTGAGAGATATCCTCAGATTAAAAACAACTAACCAACCAATCAACCAACCAGCCACATAATTAACCAAACAACCAACCAGCCAACTAACCAACCAACCAATCAACTAACCAGATAACCAGCCAACTAACCAAACAAGCAAACAGCAAACTAACCTACCAACCAACCAACCAACTAACCAAACAACCAAACAACTAAGCAGCTGGCCAGCCGGCCAACCAAACCAACCAACCAAGCAAAGAAATGAACAAATACATTCACCCCTGCTTGTCTCCCACATAAAGACCACCCCCACCCAACACATGCACGGTACATGGAACTGTATTTATCAAACAATTCATTTTTGAGGAAACAATTCTTCTCATTGTCTTGGGATTCTTTGTTTATTAAAGGATTCTTTGCACATAGAGCTGCTTGAACAGGTTTAAATATTTGCTTGCAGATCATTAGCTGCTCCCCAGCAGTAGAACCCCTTCCCATTTTCCAGGTTGACTTAAACACTATAATGAAATAGAGAAGTCAGGGCAGGTATTATTATCTCCGTGTACAAGTGAGGGAATGGAAGCTTGCAGAAGTGAAGCATCTGTTAACTCTCACAGCTCGTAAAGGCAAGGTGTCCTGGAAACATAAGGACCAAGTCTTCTGAATGCCAGTCAGGTACTTTCTGAAGTGGGTCAGAGGCTGTCTCTGGTCCTACAGAGAAGTTGTGGGGCTAAGGGCAAGTCCCTTAACATCTCTCCATCCCCGTTTCCTTATCTATGAAATAGGGATTGAACTTGTTTATTCAATTTTTCTCCTTCTATTAGTACAAGTCTGGAATTTAATAATAAGATTGAGAAACTGAGAGCTAAAATACTACGATCTCTTTTCCATGCAAATGTTAGTTAGAAATAAAGATGGAAAAAAAAGAAAAAAAAAACACCTCAAATCATTAGGTACGTTTGAGGGAAACGGCGTTAGTTACAAGTTGATCTATAATTAACCTTTTAGGAATCACAAGCACTCTGTTTGTATATAGGCCACAGAGACAGAGTTAAGTCTGCACTCAAACATTGGCAGAGGTGTTCTCTGGGAGAGCCACTCACAACTCATGACCACAGGGCCGGAGGAGAGGATTCTCACAGCTTGGCTCCACTCTGGCCAAGTGTGTGGCATGTGCCCTTTCCTGGGTTTCGTGCCTTCTTTAATGCTGTCCTGTCCCCAGTGGATGCCAGAGAGGATGTCACAGGAGGATTAGCCATGCATTTTTATTATCCTGTCTTCCCTCTCAGCCATGTGTTTTGAAAGAGTACTATAAAGGCTGAACCATGGATAAGTCGCAGGTTTTGTACTTAGACTTCAGTTCAAATCCCAAGCTCGAAAGGTGTGATCTTGGGTTGCTTATTTAACTTCTTATAAATCTCTGTTTTACTATCCTCATAGCCAACATTAATTTATTATCTATTGTAGAAGACTCTGTTCCAAACCCATTATCTGCATTAACTCACTGAGGATTTAAATAATCTGCAAGGTAGAATGATTATATTCCCTGTTTCACACATGAGGTGTGTGGGATGCTGACAGATTGAGTAATTCTGAGGTCAGGCACCCAGTAAGTGGTAAATCCAAATTTCAAACTCATGAGGAACTCATGTTCTTATAATGAGAGGCTCTACTGCCTCTCATTCCAAGATGGGTACATTAGTCAGCATAAACTATGCTGCAGTAACAAAAATCCCCAAATCTTAGCAGCTTAAAATGACAAAGGTTTACTTCCTGCCTCATTATTTGTGTTGACCGGCAGTTCGGTCAGCCTTGTCCTCATTCTAAGACTAGATTGATAGGCAGCCACTTTTGGAAAGTTAGCATTTATTAAGGCCCAGAAAGAAGTATGAGAGCAGGGTTCTCAGCCTTGGAACTATTGACATCATTATTATGGACGAATAACTTTTTGTTGTGGGGGGTTGTTAAGTGTTGTAGGATGTTTAGCAGCATCCCTGGCCTTGACCCATTAGTTGCTAGTAGCATCCTCCTCCAGTTGTGAAAACCCCAAATTGACAGCTGTCCCCTAGGTATAACATCATCCCTGGGTGTGAATAACTGCTTCAGTCTAAGATCTCAGGGTAGCAGTGAAATGCTCCATTGTCAGGGATACGAGTCTCGCCTCATTGGCCAGAACTGGTCACATGCACCCATCTTACCACAAGGAAGCCAGGAAGTGAATCTTATAAAGAGAAACACAGGATGAACTAGAAATGTTTGGTAAACAGCATTAATGATTATCACAGATGGGAATAATAATATTTGTCTTAAGGATTATTATGCAGATTAAATGAAACAAAAAGAAGCTTAAGCATCTAAGTAAGTGTGGACATCTAAAACAGTTTAGAATAGGAGTCTGCAAACTATAGCCATCTGTTTTTGTCAATAAAGTTTTATTGGCACCCAGTCATGCCCATTGGCTTACCTACTGTCTATGGTTGCTTTCACTCTACACCAGCAGAGTTGAGAGTTTGTGAAAGAGACTGTATGGCCCCCAAAGCCTAAAGTATGTACTGTCTAACCCTTTAGAGCAAAAGTTGCTGCCTCCTGGCTTAGAGAGTCACACTTTTCTTGGGAGCAGGACCTTGGAGTGAGCAGCAGGAATGGAAGGAGATGCCTTGTTCTGCTTCCATCTTTGTTTCTGAAATGTTAATATGTACTTCATTAGCATTACACTCTTAGGCCTCTGTGATCTCTCTCAGGGTTGTGGCAGGATTCACACGGATCTGCATCTACTCTCTCTACTTGTGTAACCCACATGTTGCAATTACATTTTAAGTTTAAAAAACTTTGTGTTGACCTCTATTATACATGCACATATGTGTACCTATCATAAATCTACAACCCAATGAGCTTTCACAAGTGAACTCACCCACAGGTACCCCTCCTGCTCCCTTCCCTGCCCACTCCCAGCTCCATGGGACTCTGATTTCTAAGAGCTAACTTAAAAAAAATCTTTTTATTATGGACAGCTTTCTAACATGCCCAACGATAGAGAGCATAGCAAAATGAACCCTACTGTTTCTTTCACCAGCTTCAGAAATAATCAGTATTTTATCATTCAAGTTTTGTATATTCTCTCTCCTCTCTCCAGGTAGGTAGGTAGGAGGATAGATAGATGGGGAGAGAGTAATATATCTCTGTGTTTATACAGTATCAATTACACTGATATTTTTATAAGCTTCTAACTTATGTGTTCTCATTTGTAAAGTAGGGATAATAATCGGACCTACAATACTTCATTGTAGAGTTGTTGAGTGATAAATGGGTTGGTAGACACAAAGTTCCTAGCAGAGCAAGTAGTAAATATGAACTGTCATCCTCATTATCATCATCACCTGGATGTAGGGAACTAAGGAGCAAGGTCATGACCACCCTCCCTTCTTTCCTCTAGGTCTATGCTGTGGTGGTAATTGCGTCTGTGGTGGGATTTTGTCTGCTGGTGATGCTGTTTCTGTTGAAGTTGGCAAGACACTCCAAGTTTGGCATGAAAGGTAAGAAGGGTTCTGTTTATTTTACTTCTTATGTGGAATCATTTTTGGCTTCTGACTAATGCTAATTACCACTAAAGAAAGAAGCAGCTAGATTTACAATGACTAGGTTTTAAGGCTGAAAAAATAGCAACAAGGATATGATACTACAAATCAAGGCAGAGCAAAATAATGTTGATTACTCAGCAGTGCCCACTTTCCAAGGAGGACGGTTGTCCCAGAAGACACTGAACTTGAACTGGTTTCCTGAGTCTCAAGTAACTAATAACGATATAGGCAAAGAGTGCCTGGGTTTCCCTTCGGCTTCAGAAACGCAGGCGAGGTGTGATGGCAGTAGGTTAGTTAGGGACACAAGTGTTTTGTGCAGAAGGGTCCTTTCTGCTGTGCAGGTGACTTCCGGACCCTTCCGTGGTAGCTTTTGTTGTTGCTACTGCTTTACAGTAAAGTTCTCATCTTCTGAGATTTGAACTGTGTTGGGGAAGCGAAATCAGAACACCGGCTGTACGTTGAAGCTTTGTGAATGAGCGTGTGTGTGTGTGTGTGTGCGCGCACGTGCATGTGTTAATGGAAAGATGCCCAGTGCTAGATTAAAAATTGTAAAATTGTTGGCCATGTTGCCCAAGAATAGACCAGGGGTCTCTCTCAGAGGACTGAAAATTCATTGTAGGGGAGAAAACTTATTTAAATGTTCTTGTTATATAAATAGCCAAGATTTTCAGCGATTGAAAAGCATTTGCTCTGAAGTTTAAACGTTACGTATTGACTAAGATGCTATTGTTGAATTTTGTGTGGTCTCTTATAAATAGCCACTAGCTTGGGAAAGCCGCGAAGTAGGTTTAGTGGTGGCTTCATTGTGTTAAAGACAACGTGGTGGGTTTTCTTGATCTGTCTGGTTCATTACAACCACTATTTACGTTGCCTACTCACTTGGAAGTGATGTTTATGGAGCGATAAGCTGTCCAGCGTACCCTGGGCTCTGGGATGGAGTGGATCTATTTCTGACGCTTTCTCCTCTCCCTCTGTGGGTGCCCATGATCAAAATCCCTAAACCTGAAGTGAACAGGGAGGAGTAGTGGTAAATTAGGCCTTGAATAGCCCCCAGATCTGCTCCTGACTTTCTCTGGACCTGCCGATTCTTGACATTTCTTTTGGAGGAGGAAAGGTCTCTCATTCTCCAATTATAAATAAGGCCTGGGGGAGGGACAGTGATTTTAATTAGTCCTACTACGATGCTGGTTTACAAACGTGACTTCGCATCAGCAGCTCCTGGAAGGCTTGTGAAAACACAGATTTCTGGGCCACCCCAAGAGTTTCTGATTTAACAGGTCTGAGGTGGGCCTGATACTTGGCATTTCTAACAGTTTCCAAGGATGACAATACTACCGTGGCCCAAGCATTCCTGGAGAATCACCGTTCTATGGGATCAACAAGGGCTAGCACCTTCTGAGTGACAAGATGGGGGAGGGGCATTGCTTTGCAGACCTTTCTGGGCCTAGGTCTGGGCGAGGCTACTGTTTTCTGCATGTCAGCCACCCACCATGGCATTTTGTTTTCCTCATTTTGATCAAGTACTTTGTTTCCTTAGAGGCACTTGGAGTGGATGTCCCCAAGCAGGGATTTTACTAGAGAGAGCCAGATACTAGCATCATTACTTTCCCTTCCTGAGGGTTTAGTTTGAGACCTTTCATCTCATGGGTTCTTCAGAGAGAGAATCTGTTTAGGTTCTACTGGGAGCTGCACAAAAGCTTTGGGAACCCTAGCAGTGATATTTAGGAGCTGTTCTCACCCCAGCTTTGTGTTAGGAAAACAACCTCTGGAATGGTCTGTAAGCGTTGACATAGTCTGTGCGGCGCAGGGAGGGAGAGACTAAAAGGTAGACATTTGTTTCAGAGAAGATTGTATTTCCTATAGAGACTCCCACATGAAGACTGAAACAGATTTTTATTTGGATAATTTGGGATGATTACCGCTAAAGCACCTACATTTCCCGAACGTTTATAACCTAAGGGGATCCTTAATGAATTGTAAGGAAGATTTTGCTAAACCTTGTCCCAGAGCCAGTAAATGACTTCCTTCAGGCAGTCGCTACTATATCCTATGCTTTCACTCCCTAATTTCCAAACATAACTAAAGTTGTTTTTGAAAAAATCATCTCGGAGACTCACGGGTCTTGTTTAGAATAACTTCTTTTTCTATTTTTGCTGCACATCTATCCATGCCATGGTTTAAACACATCGGGCTTGGGGCACCTGGGTGGCTCAGTCGTTAAGCGTCTGCCTTCGGCTCAGGTCATGATCCCAGGGTCCTGGGATCGAGTCCCGCATCAGGCTCCCTGCTCAGCAGGAAGCCTGCTTCTCCCTCTCCCACTCCCCCTGCTTGTGTTCCCTCTCTCGCTGTGTCTCTCTCTGTCAAATACATAAATAAACTCTTTAAAAAAAAAAATAAACACATCGGGCTTGAGCTGAGGCTATTGTTTTTACTAGTCAGATGCTGAGTTGATGATTTTTTTTGTGGGGGGGTCTGGGAGATAAGATGAGGGCAAATGAAACTGCATAAAAAGTGGTATTTAACATTAAAAGAAGTTAATGTACTTTAAATGCTATTAGTGCTGGGATCACTGCTGAAAAAGATGTATGCCTTATAAAGGGAAGAGTATGTAAAAATACTATTATACCTCCTGAAATCGCCAGGAAACACGTGAGTGCTGATTTCTCAGTAACAACCGTGTGAAATGCACATAGCCTTGGCCAGGACCAATGGCTCTGTTCTGTGTGATGGGCAAATGAGCTGTTCCAAATGTAATTCTTGCCCTCAGAAGCACCTTCGGGAGATTCTGCCTCCATTCCTAGTCCCTTGTCTGGGAGACAGATTGAGATTGCAGGTGGCGGTCAGCCTGCCCACCAGGTACTTGCAGCTTTTTGCCCATCCCAGCGTCCAGTGTTGGGCACTGTGTCATCACAGTAGCTGTCTCGGGATCATAACCATAGTTTAAGATTGTGGATTGGAAGGGTCTGGGGTCACCAGAAACCTCTTTAAATCACACTGCAGCTGAATGCAGGGCAACTCAAGCCCTGTGGATTGACCTAAGGACCCAGACACGATTGATGGTATTGTTTATGTGGGAAGGTGATCTCTAAATGCCAAACCTGAGCATTAAATCTAGATTTTAGAATATCACCAGTGAGTGGTGGTGTGTTCTCTGGACGTGGGTTTATGTGACTGGAAGCTTCCTAGGGTTTATTTTCTGTTCTGTCAATTCCCTGCAACCAAAGGCTGAAGGGACCGTCTCACACATGGAGCTTTGGCTGGGAGCTCTGTGAAGACAGGGTTTGTAGTGGTCTTGTTCATCATCCAAATTGGCACTCGGTAAGTATTAATTGACTGAATGAATGATCACAGAGAGTTTCCAATTTCAGTCACTTTAGTTTGGTAATTGGAAAACAGTTGATATTTGGAGGACAGCTCATATGTGAATGGCGAAAGAGAGAATCTGAGAGCTTTTGTAAGTTTTTAAGGAGTCAGAGCCTCTCTCCACCCCCTTCACCCCTGCTTTCTTTGATTATTCCAGATAAGTAATGGCCCTAGACAGGAGGTCATTTTGCTAGGTTTTTGCTTAGGATTTATAGGTTTCCATACAATTTTCATACAATTATTGCTGTTTCAGTTTGGAGGGTTCACTTTGGCTTTCCATTTTATACGGGAGCATCATGGATTTCTGCTTCTCTGCCTTTGAATATATGGCCTCGGAATATGTGTCTTTATCCAGCTTTGAAGCTGGTAGAAGTGCCTGATGGTGGGCCCTATCTTGGTGCTAACCTAGAATTTATTTTTCATTATTGCCTAATAATAGTCTAAGCCTCTTGTTGCCAATGTTCAATGGACTACTGGCCTTTTGTCAATGAAGATGTCAGGAGGTAGAATTTACCCCACTCTGTTTTTCCGTGCTCGTTTTTGTGTCTTTACACCAGCCTATTGCTTTTTGGTTGAATATCTGGCTACCATAATCACGGAAGCCCCGAATAAAGGCCTTCTGTTAGTGCTTGGTCATCTGTATAGGGATTATTTATATGTGCGCTTAAGAGAGATGCCTAAAATATATAACAAACTACCGACATTTATGTCTGTATCCATACCCCTCTACATAAATGTATAATTTTATCCCTTTTCTCTCAGGCTGCTTCTGATTGATTTTAATTTTAGTTTCCGCTGAAATAGGGCTGCAAGGCTTTTCCAGAGCAGCTGTATTGCCAAAGGAACCGGCAGCCAGGCCTCAGCACGCTCCTCCTTGTGTTGTAACCAAGTCTCGTGTTTAGTTCTCACATTGCTTCCTGGCTCCCTTTCTTCACGGAAGATGGAGAAGTGTGCAGGATGGGGAAGTGGAAACATCGGGGGGCACGAGGGCTGACGGGCCTTCCAAGAGCACTCCGCGTTTGGGAGCCCCGCCTGATGGCGTGGATGGTGTGCAGGCCTGGAAAAAATATACGGGAGCCAGACGGGTGGAGGGGGCTTGGCACTCGTCACCCTGATGGAGAATCCTTGTGACCATCAGCTTTGTTACATGCAGTTCCCGATGGAAGCCCACATAGTGATATTTATTCCCTGAGCGCCGGCGCATCCTTTGTCTGTCTACAGTAAATATATCTAAGTGACCCTAAGACATCCCACAGGAGGAACTGGAATAGGAGGCCTGTTCTCTCATTCAGTGTTGATAGCCTGCAGATTTCATCTGCGGCCTCCTGTTCTTGCACGTAAACCACCGATCTGCACTCATTCCTATGACTTGAGCTGTAGAAATTTCCAATTCGTAATTGACCAGAGAACTGCACTCCCTGAGAATGCAGAGCCAGGTTTTCTCAACTCTACATTCAAGGTCCACAGTTTGTTTTTCCTCTTATAAATGATCTCCTAAATGTCTTTCAACAGGAACCGAAAATTTGGCTATTTAAAAATAGTCATAAACATATAGTGGGACCGAAGCTAGAGAAGTTGAAGGTTAGAGCCTT